TCTAGATGTGTATAAGAGACAGCCCCGCGACACACACACAAGCCGACTCCCAAACAAGCACATCGACAACACCTCACAACAACGCAGCACCCGTCCGTCTGGACGCGGATCCAGACCAAGCCCGAATCGAAGCTCCGTTCCTCCCTGCTCCCGCACAACACTCAGCGGCAGCAACGTGGACGTATGCCTACCGCTTGATTGTTGGTGTCGAAGTTGTGGCGCACACAACTCGTTGTTACCCTCCCCCCCTTTGTCCCATTTTCTTTTTCTTTTGTTCTCCCTAGGCCGACCGCTGAATATGTCGGTATTCCATACATCCGAACCCGGTCATCTCTAGTATTTCAACCACGCGAATCAGTATCGTCTATATCTAGAGAGCAGCTACTCAGACAAAATTTCAGTTCATACGCTCTTGTTCCTGAGACGGCAGGCGTCCACCTCGAATCCGACCTTCAGCTGCGCCCTCTTGTTGCGGCGTGGGACATGGCGCGTATGTGTCCCGCAACTCTTGTCGGTTTGAGCCGTTTACAGCTTGCCGCCGTACTCAACGTCGGAGTATCTTCTCGAGAAGGCCGGCACGCGAGGTGGGTGGAACGCGCGGGGTAGACCACGGTAGTGGTGGTAGGGGGACAGCCACGGTGAGGCGGGGTGGGCGGAAGGAAAACGGACCGTGAACAAATTTGACCAACTTCATTCAATCGAGTCACTCAGCTGGATTGGCCCGATTCGGCTCTTCTGCTATTCAACGAGCCCGCAACAACCAGTGTTTCTTCCCTGCCGCTGCATCCCCAACTGCCGGCAGAGTTATTCCATTGGCATCGCAATTCGTCGTGGCGACCTTTTACCCGTGACAAGCGTACACGGCCATTCTCCAACGACAACAACGACCAAATCAGCAGCTGGACCGGCTCCCCCTGCTCCCCTTGCTGGGCACAACCGTAATATGTTTGACACCAACAACCCTCCCATGTTCCTACCTGGTGATTGCCGTAGACACCGTCTTCTCCCACTTCTCGGGTTCCCGCCACCTCTTCCAGTTGCCCCACGGAAGGGGCTCCGCCCTGTTTCCTGCGGTGAGGCCGGCCGCACGCCCGATCCACGCCAAGCGGCGAAGCGGAGCCGTCGCCGTGCTCTTCTCCTTGAGGGCACCGCCGCCGCCATCGAGAGCCAGGAGCGGCCACGTCCATTCGCCGCCGGGAGATGAGCGGGAGGAGATCGTCTCTGTGACGGTTTCCTCGAGAACGGCGGCGGCGGCGGCACGGGCAGCGGAGCAGTTGCCCCGCTCCTCGGCAGGCGCCTGGCTAACCTCACGCTTGGTAGCGGCCGTGACCGCGGGGGCCTTGGCCGCCCGAGCCGATTGTGCGGTCTGTGCCTTGCCGGGAGCGGCGGCGGGCTCAGAGGGGATCGATATGCGTGATCCCGCCGCCGCCGCCGCCGCCGCCACTGCTGCCACCGCCACCCCGGTCGGCGTCCGCGTCGGCGATTGAACCGCCGAGGCGGAGGTGTTCTTTTCATCTTCAGCCTTCTTTTCGATTTTCGGCGGCGTTCTTTCCCCCGGCGCCGCCGCCGCTCTCTTACCGCCCAAGGCCGCAGTGTCGTCGACGACAGCACCAGCAGCACAAGTAGTACCACCAGTAGCAGCACCACCATTGTCACCACCTCCGCCAGGAGCAACTTTCTGCGCTGTCTTCCCTCCCGGCTTGGTCTCGTTTTTTTCGCCTGGCTTCGGCTCCGGGGGTGGGACAGGCTGAGTGCTCGCGGGCGGGTTATCTGCGACAACCAAGAGCTTCCCTTCCACGCGCCTGGGATCGTTGCTCTTGCGCAGGTTTTGCTGGGCGAGGTGCTGCTGCAGCCGTGCGGACTTGGCGGCCTTCGCGGCTCCCTTGACACGCTCGCGCTCGGCAGCCCTACGCGCGGCGCGGGACATGGGTTTTCTCGCTCCCTCCTCATCCTTGCTTGTACCAACCGCAGCCCCCGCAGCCGCCGCCTCACCCATTGCCTTCGCCGCCACGGTTGAATTTTCTTCGGGGGTCTGCGCGGCTCTGACTCCTTGCTGGGCATTATGGGGATTTCCCGCCTCCTTCATGGGCAGAACGCCTCGCTCGGGGGCGGCAGCGAGGGTCGCTTGACAATTGTGTGCCTGCTGTTTGTCCTTCCCCCCGTTGCTGTGCGCCGTCCGGTCTGCCTTGGCCATTGCATCCCATATCTGGTTGTCGAGGGTCGAGGTAAGGACCAGAGGGGGAAGGCGGTGAAGAGTGGACCAAAACGATGATAGCAACACTTGAACCGTTGAAGGAGGGCTGGGTTCTGGGCGCTTCCGCACGACTTGCTCTCAAGCGGTCCGCTTGCAGACAAAAGCCATCGCAGCAGCGTGCCGCTGTCTACCTCTGTGTGCACTTTCAGTCAATTTCATACTGCCCGTCTGCCTTATTCGTCTGTCTTTGTGTGTCTCTCTCGTAGTCTATATCTTCCCCCCGCTCTTTACTGCAGAATTTTTTCCCTCCAGTTATTATCGTTCGTTGTTGCAGACGCTCTTGCCTCCTTGTTCATGCTGCGGATGATCCGGCTCACACGGGGTCCGACAGCGGTGTAGTCCTCGTAGTCGCCCAAGCTCGAGGCCTGTTGGTATAAGACTGCCTCCAAGGCGGTTGGGAAGGACGTCCTCTGACGGGGACGACATCAAGAGGCACGCGCGAGATGTGGGGGGAGGGGGTTGAATTCGAGTGCATGTCATCATATTTCGACCGTGGTCCAACGGGGCGGGCGTACTCATGTTTCGCATGCCTTAGTTTGTGGACCGATGGCCACAACGGAGGGCAAATCCCACTTGGTGCGACCGCATTTCTTTCTCTTTGACAGCGTCGATTGGCACAGGCCAAATGGAATGAAGCACCCGTTCTTAGTGCCGTTCCTATCCGTCTGCTCGTAGTGAAGGGCCGTCTTTCAACTTTTCGTGTCCGTTGTTCCAAGTTCATTCCTCTGCCCAGGAAGGAGTACGTATCAAGGTGATGCGCAGCTTACACTAGCATCCACCAAGACGCAAAAATCCTTCCCAAGGGTAGCCTTGTTGGAGAAGTAGATAAAGCAAACCGTTGTTTGTTGAAACCACTCAAGCTGCCCTATTCAAATGATTACGCGTTGTTTGGGTGGCACCCGATAGCACTCAATGAGCAACGATCAAGTTACCCGGTCGTTTTGTGAAAGGATTCAAGTGGACAGAGCATACAATACAAGGATGAACGACGACGATCACCTTCTTAACCTTCTGCACCCATCCGGGCAAGGTGCTAGGCTTCTGCTCTCGGAAGAACTTGACGATCTGAACAAACATTTTCTTGCGAGCAGGCATGTCGCTGTATGAATGCCACGAGGCACCGCTACCGGCAACCTGAACAGGAAAGATGAGGTTCGAACGAGAGACAGAAACGAGCGCGCGGGAACAAGAAAAGAAGAGCCAGTGTTGCAGCACAGAGCACGGGGGGGGGGCGTACTCTTATGTTTTGCATGTCTTAGCGGTTAGACCATTGACCACGCGTCCTCGAGAGGACGGAGCATTGTTCCCACAGGACCGATCACCGATGGCCAATCGTTCC